TATTTTTTTTTTTATAACTAATACTCTGCAGTTTAAAATATACTTCATAATACTGCATTTCAGCTGCTCATATCTTAACACCAGTTGTAAAGTTATTTTTTATCTGTATATGTCTCCTAAAGGTACTTCTAACTTTGAAAAATATAATTTTTAGGTATTTGGTTATTTAAAAATAGAAAAGATATATATATATATATATATATATATATATCTTTTCTATTTTTAAATGTCAGTAAAAAATTAAGGAACGTTAATTTTAGTGTAGTGTTATTCATTAACAGCTGTTTATAATTATTTGGATTCTGCAATAATGATATAAACAATAATAAATCTTTCTCAACTTACTTAAATTAGCATAACTTAATTTACCTATGAAAATTAAAGTTTTTTGATCCATTCTGTAAATGTATTTAATAATCTATATATAATTAATAGGTTATCAAAACCACCCATAACAAAAGGTTGATATTGATAACATTTTGGAAACTAAAGAAAATAGAAAAATTAAAAAAAAAAAATTTATCAGAAAAAATAAACTGAATAAAAAATGTTTTACCCGAGCGTTGATAACTTTTTACAAGGTTCTTTTATACTATAAATTATATAGATATTTGGGTATTTTGCAAAACAGCACTAAAACCTAACAAAATACTATTCTATTATTAGGTAAACAATGATTAATAAAAAGAAAACTCTACCTGGGCAAGGTACTTTTAAATTGCATACTTGAGAACTGTATCCATAACAATTACCACCATTACATTCTCTATTTTGAAATGGAGATACCAGAGAACTAGGCTGGCAGGTTGCTGAGCAAGTACTCCATTCAGACCAATCACCGCCTTCATTAAGTAAAGTGATTTTAAAATTGAAAAAAATGGCATTAAAAATAGCAACAAAAGAATTTATAATACATTCTGGAATTAGAGGATTTGTATAACAAAAAAAGTCAAATGTAGGCTTTAGGCGTTAAAAATAAAAAGTTTAATTAGTTACAAAAGTAATACAAAAACTTAATAAATTAATTTACTTAAAACTTATTTTACTCGCCATGAAAAAGGATTATTTTATAGTTGAACTAAAAATGAATTGAAATAAATATAGTAGCAATTTGTTGTGTATACTTTCTTCTTGCTCTTTTTTTTCTCCAAATGCAAACTTAATTTTTTCTTTCTTAGCTTGATTAAAAACATTTTTCTCTATATACAAAATTAAAATATAAATCAATTGGTTACTTTTCATTGTCTTAACTTCTCCGTAGTAAAAATTAAAAAAAATTAGTTGTTTTTATATTTTTTTGCTTTTTATTTTTATTTATAAGCCCTATGAAGACTTTACGGTCTTTTCACAGAGCATTGCGGATGAGTATTTACTTTTCTCATTTTATTACAGTCTATTCGGACCCACGATTTTTTACGGTCACAAAGCACCACAGATGAGCATTTAATAGTAAGCTTGCGCCTCATTCTTATCTGAGTTTTTTTGACACGAAAACATTCTTTGCAGAATTAATTAGCAAATAAAACTGTTCTAAAAACTTAAATATTGTTTCAAATGCGACGTCGCCAACAATCAAAAAATAACGTTGGTTTAAAGTAATATTTTAAGTCGACATTGCGTAATGCTTTTCCCTTGATTTGACAGGTTAATAAAATTAGATCAACGTTGGGTTTACATTGTAAAAACAAATCAAAATTTTGCCATGTTTTTAAATACATTGGATCAATGTTGAGATATAAACATATATTGGAGAAATATTGGATTATATACATTAGATTAACGTTGGTTTTGTAAGCTCAACGTAAGTATGCTAGCTAGGAAACAAACACATATCTATCCCAGTTAGCACACTTGCATTAGGCCAACGTATATAAAAAACTACTACTTCACGTTTAAATGTATATTCTTACCTAGATAGCACACATACGTTGTTAAAACATTAAAAAATGTAGCGTGTTTTTTGGCCTGTCAATGGCAGCCAACGTTATTTTTATATCGTTAAGGTTACAAATGTGACGTCGCCAACAATTAAGACCGATGTTAATAAACAAATTTTACGATTTATATAAGTCGGAAACGGTTATATTATCTTTATTATATATATATATATATATATATATATATATATATATATATATATATATATATATATATATATATATATATATATATATACATATATGTATATATGAATATGTATACATATATATATATATATATATATATATATATATATATATATATATATATATATATATATATATATATATATATATATATATATATATATATATATATATAGATATATATATATATATATATATATATATATATATATATATATATATATATATATATTTATATATATATACATGTATATATATATGTATATATATTCATATATATTCTTGCATAGTAAAAACAAATGCAAAATTATATATATATATATATATATATATATATATATATATATATATATATATATATATATATATATATATATATATACATATATATGTATATATATATATATATATATATATATATATATATATATATATATATATATATATATATATATATATATATATATAATATATATATATATATATATTCTTGCATGGTAGTCACAAATTTTTTCCCATAAACTTTTGTTTTAAAGAGAGCGTTAATAAGCCTGACCAGAAAATGTTAAAAAACTTCGGATTTTTTTTTTTTTTTCAAATGATAGACTGCCTGCCTAAACCCTCAGTCGATAAAGCTTCAGTCGATGTAAAAGCACTCCCTTGCAAGTCAGGTTATATGTCAGTCGATGTAGCATCACTTCGTTGCAAGTCAGGCTATAAGTCGCCTACACTTTAAGGATATATATATATATATATATATATATATATATATATATATATATATATATATATATATATATATATATATATATATATATGTATATATATATATAAATACATATATATATATATATATATATATATATATATATATATATATATATATATATATATATATATATATATATATATTCATATATATATATATATATTCATATATATATATATATATATATATATATATATATATATATATAAATATATATATATATATATATATATATATATATATATATATATATATATATATATATATATATATATATATATATATATATATATATATATATATATATATATATATAAGTTTGTAAATTGATTTTTAAATTATATTATGTTGTAAATTTTTTTTAGGGGGTTTGTTATTTTTTACAACCAAAACTTATACGAGAAAAGTAGATAAGAATATGGACGAAAATCAAAATGTTTTTCGATATACAATTTTTTCGCAAATTTTTTTTAGTAATGTTTATTCTCTCTAATGATTAGTAATAACGTTGGACATAAAAGTAACAATTTTAAACACGCATCAAGTTTGGTAAATATATTTATTTAAAATAAACCAAGTTATTCTTTTAATTATCTTAATCCATGTTTGCAAAAATTATTAATCAAATATTTTACAAACCGATAACAATATATTTTCTTATTGTCCTATTACATAAGTATTTAAAAAAAAAACGTCAAATATAGCAGAAACATTTCAAAAGCAAAAAGACGTACAAAACCAAAAAACGTAAGAAAAAAATTAACAAAATTTTATAATATCATAACTCTTGCGTACATTGAAATGAGTTTCTTTATTATTTGGACTGAGAAAAACTGTTACTAAAACGATATCAAAACTTTCAAATGTTATTTCATTGTTATAAAAGATGTTTTTTTTGACAAAGACTTTAAAAAAATAAAAATACAAAATTTATATAAATATTTTATTTAAATAAAATAAAATTTTATTTACTCTTTTTAATTACAGAATTTTCTAGTTTGTTTATTAAACCTTGTATTTTATTACAAATTTTGTACCTTTTTTTTTTTCTTAGTAGATAAGTTTAGCTTTTTTGCCGCGAACTATGAAACTCCTAACAATCCAATCCGTATTATTACGTAAACTTAAAGTGGTTTCTAAATGTCCATGTTGTAGTATTACGCGACCTAATAGTGGCTTCTAAACTCCTAAACCGTAATAATACAGTTTTGTGCATCTCCTTATATTTCCTTCTTGTCCATCATTAATTATACGTCTACTTGTCACAAAAGTCTAAATATCACTAAATTGAAGAGAGGTTTTCCAAAACTGGTTAAATTACAAAATTATTTTTTTGAGAAAAACAAATTAAACTTATTGTCTATATTTTAATATAGACAATAAGTTTATTGTGTTTTTCTATATTTTTTGGGGGGTTTAATTTAAAATTTGTTTTTTCTACTGTAAACACACGGCTAATTAATCTCAATGAATGGTTCAAAACCAATAAACTGTCAGTAAACATTGATAACACTAAATATATTCTGCACACAAAACCTTCAAAAACTAATAACATACCACTGAAACTTAACTTAAAACTGAATTTCAAACTGGAAAAATCATTTACATTTAATGGAAAACAGCATTTCAAAAGCTCTTGGAATCCTTTTCAAAACAAAGCACTGTTTGAATATAATGTGCTTAAAATGCTTGTATTTTTCGTTTATTCAGAGTCACATTAGTTATTGCAATATAGCGTGGGCAAGTAATTATTCTTTTTTTTTTTTTTTTTAATTATAACTAAACAAAAGCAAGCGAGCCGGTTAATTTTGAATGCAGGTAGATATGCATGCGCCAAGCCTTTACCCAGTAAGCACGTCACGTTTATTAAACGTTTCAACCACGTACTTTTTTGGTTTTTCCGTCCTAGGCTTTTTTAAACGTTTTTTAAACGCCTTAAAAACGTTGCATATATCTTGTAGTATTTGATACGTAGTTTACAAGTATTTTAAGCGTAACATATTTCGATATTTAAACGTATAAACTCAAATTATAAGATTCGGCGCACGGTTCAAGAATTACAGATGAATTTAAAATATTTAAGCGCATTTTTTTGGCAGCTAGTTATAACTCTTGAAACAACAAGCTTTTTTATAATTCTTGAAGCAATTATAACTCAATAACTCTTAAAATAGTTACAACTCTTGAAAAAGCGAAATAACCCAAACAAAACATTTTTTCAAATAACGCTACAGAATTCGTCAAATGAAAATGTCAGAGGATTCTGCAATCGCCACACGAAAGCGTTCTCATCCAAGTACAAGGTGACTGAATAATTAGTTTTATTAATTAACAAAAAAATGTGTAGTGGTGGTGGTGGTGGGGGACTACTTTCAAACTCGAGGACATGCCAGGACTAGTAAGAACCCTGACATAAAAGAATCATTAGTTTAATACGTTAATGTATTAAATTAAGGGAAATTCTTCAGAATTACCACTGTTCCTGGAAAATCCTTAAAAGTCCTGGAATCTTGAAAAAAGTACTGGAAAATCCTGGATTTAATTTAATTATTCAGAAAAATCATAAAGAAGTACTCGAAATTTTCATTCTGTTTTAATTTGTTAATGTTTTTTTCAAAACTCTTCCCCTTTTTTTTTATAGATTGTTTCATTCATAAAAAATATGGTAGTTAATAGTTTTCAATTACAATTAATACTTAAGTTGTTTCCCAAAAACTTGCAAATAAACTTTAAAGTGTAATCAACTTGTTTTTAGAATATTACTTAAATAGTGTTAAATATTACTTAAGTAATATTTTAAAAACATGATGGTTAAACCTTATACAAAAAGGCTATAAGTTATTGCCTTTTTGTCAAAAGACGTAAACTATAGGGTGTAATCATTATGTTTTAAGCATATTATATTTTAAAAACAAGGTTTTTTTTGACATATTTAATGACAATAGTTTTTTACTTTAATATCATTTTTATATATATGTTATATTTAATATATATGATGTATTTAATGCTATTTAACTTTTTAATTATTCAGTAATTAATAATAGAGATTAATGTGACTAGGTCAAAATATTAAACTAAAAATTTAGTTGTTTGTCTTTAATTGTGTTATATAATTGGTTTATTTAGTTCAGCAGGAGGTTTAGTAGTAATTATATTATTTTAGTTCATCTTCTGCATGGAGAGCACGCAGAGCAGCTGTTTTAAATGTCTGAAGTACCTCAAAATCCTAATATTTTGGATCTCAGTTCTATTAAGAATGATATTATTCAAAATACAAATAAAGAATATACTTCATCGGATGATGCTGCCAGTTGTAATACTCAGAATGCAAATGCTATATATTCAACATCAGATGAAATTGCCAGTGATAATGATATGTTTGAAAATTTGCTGCAGTCAGGAACAAAAAGTTTATATGATGACCTTCTCTGTTCTAAATTACGAGATTGGGCTCTAAAAAACAGTTGCACGCAAACTTGTATAAATGAAATTTTAAATCTTTTTTCGGAAAATCATCACAAAGTGCCCAGAGACTCAAGAACATTGTTAAAAACAAAAAGAAGCATTCCTTCCACTAAAATAGATGGACATGGAGAGTATATTTATCTTGGTTTAAGAAAAGAAATCACAAATCAAGTTGTTTTACATTCCATTACGGAAACTACCTTAAACTTATCTTTTAATATAGATGGCCTCCTGTTATTTAAATCCAGTTCTACTCAACTGTGGCCAATTGCAGTATCTATTATAGAATTTGACCCTTTTCTTGTTGGACTTTATTGTGGAGAAAGCAAACTGCCCTGCGATGTTTACTTGAGAGAATTTGTTAATGAGTTATTAGAATTACAAGACAGTCTTGTTGTAGTAAACAATGTTCATTACAAAGTTAATATTTATTCATTTATTTGTGACGCTCCTGCTCGAGCTTTTTTAAAAGGTATTGTTAGTCACTCAGGATTTCATTCTTGTGAGAGATGTACCATAGTGGGAGAAACTATAAGCAGTCGAACTGTTTTCTCAATGAGAGAAGAAGGTGTTGTTTTAAGGACAAGTCAAAAATTCAAAAATAACGAGTATTTTGAAAAAGATTTAAATGGAAGAGCACATCAACACAGTAAATCAGTTTTAAGAAAAGTTACATCTGTAAATTTTATAAATATGTTCCCACTTGACAGCTCTGTTTACAAGCATTTTTTAAGTCTGTCTCTTGCGATAAGGTTTTTATGTGAAAGTGATGATGTATTGAGAAACTCGAATCTAGAAAATGCTCAACAACTTATTGAATATTTTATTATTAATTCTAATGAGGTTTATGGAGATTTGTTTTGTGTATATAATGTACATGGACTTTTACACATTTGTGATGATGTAAAGTTTTATGGAGTCTCGCTTGATAAATTGTCTGCCTTTAAATTTGAAAACTATCTTCAGAAATTGAAAAGATTAGTTCGCAGCAAACGTAACCCTTTGGCTCAAGTATGTAAAAGATTAGATGAAATGAATGACTACAAGCAAGTTAAAAAATTGACAGGTAGAATGACCACAACCAAAAAAGATTCTTGTTTTTTAACTGAGGATAGCATTGTATTTCTTCAAAAGTTAGTTAATGAAGACCACTATCAGTGTTTTTCTTATAGCATACAGTTTATAGATAATTACTTTACTACTTTTCTTCCTTCAAGAGATATCGGAATCTACTTTGTCAGGAATACAATAAAACCTGTTGATTGTGTTATGCAGAAAAACAGCTTTTTGCAGAAATGTATTTTCATGAAAGTTAAAGATGGATTTGTTGTTTCTGCTTTGGTGCATTCTGTTGAGTTAAGTGGAGAATGTTGATATGATTTACAAGAACAACATTTTATGCATTTACTTTTATTTATATTTTTTATTAATAGATTGTTGCCAGGTTACATAAAAGTATGAATAGGATTAATTGAATGAATATACGTATTAAATTTTAATTGATTTAGGTTACATATAATATTTATAAATAAATATTACAAACAGAGCTATGTTTTCACAAGAACAACATTTTATACATTTACTTTTGTTTATAATTTTTTTGAATGGATTATTGCTGAATATATACATACATTTTAAATTTTAACATGTAGGTATATATTCTGACCCTATACTGTAACCTTTTGATGGCCAAATTTATTATTATTGCTATTATTTTGATTGATATTTTTTTGATATATATATATATATATATATATATATATATATATATATATATATATATATATATATATATATATATATATATATATATATATATATATATATATTCATATATATATATATATATATATATATATATATATATATATATACATATATATATATATATATATATATATATATATATATATATATATATATATATATATATATATATATATATATATATATATATATATATATATATATGTATATATATATATATATATATATATAGACGTATATATAAATATATATATCTTTTAAGTTTATATTTTTGTTATACGATATTATATGCTGAATTTGAATTTTTTTTTTTTATTATTACACTTGTTTCTGACCACTATAGGTCAGCGAAATATCGTAAATATGTAATTATACCAAAATATATTTAAAACAAAAGAGTTCATTAGCAGCCTTTTTTTTTTAATTGAATTTAACTTATATACATATGCAGAATTATATATATATATATATATATATATATATATATATATATATATATATATATATATATATATATATATATATATATATATATATATATATATATATATATATATATATATATATATATATATATATATATATATATATATATATTGTTATTTACTTTAACAGACTTTTTTGTATTATTTAATTTATTTGTCTATAAAATTGGTTTATTATAAGCAATTAATCTTGGACTAACTAATTTCTGTATTGTAGGCATTAATAATCTTTTGTTATTTCATTAAAGACGCATTTTTATCTTTTTAACTAGAGATTTCTAATATATTTTTTAATAACAAATTATTGTTATAAAAAATCTTGAGAAGTTTGTTATTAATTTTTAATTGATTAGACTTTCTATTTAGCCCAATTAAACGACTGTACTCTGTAGTCACTATGAATGAAAATGGAGTGGCTAAGAAGTGCATAGTGCCTTTGCATTGGGTAAATGAAGTAGATCAAATAGTTTATTGGCCACCACAAGGGAAAAAACCGATTCACTACTACACAAGCAAGTGGTTAACACCAGATCTATCGTGGCAAGTATTTGAATTAGTAAAAATATCGCTAGAAAAAGGTACTCGAGAAATGTGTAATGACTGCATGTTTCTTGATTCAGAATTGTTGCATAGTGATTTTGCAGAACCTGGTATTTTTTATTTTTGTTAGTCAGCATAGTAATGTTTATTTAATATTTCACAATATAAACTAAAAGAATAATAAAAAATAACTAATTTTTTTAATATTTTTACTTAATTTTATGTATAAGACTTTTTTTTGTAACTTACAAGATATAAAAAACTTTCTTTTTTATAAGGCAATGTTCAGACATCTAACCCACATCGAGAAAGTCCTGACATTATGGTTGAAATAGTGCAGAGTTGGGTTGGGCGTTCACCAAAACATGTAGTAGCGCTTGACTTTTCCTCTGGATCTGGATCTGGATCTGGATCTGGATCTGGATCTGGATCTGGATATCAGTAATTGCAGCAGAAGCAAAAAAAAAAACTAGAAAAAGAAAAAGTATGTAAAATAAGTTTATTTTCAGGTGAGCCTTTGAGTCCACCTTCACCACAATGCAGTTCTACTTTTTCATTATCAAAGCAACTACCACAAGAGTCAACTAGACATGCTAGAAAGGGAAATCCTCTACTTGGTAACTACGGAGAACCACCACCTTCATTTAAGTGCATGGATCAAAAGCATAAGTTTAATTATTATAAGAATTTATAATAGTCTTACAACTGTCTTATATCTGTTTGTGGAGGAAACATTTCCGTAGTAACTCTTATATATATATAGTTTAACAACTTGTGTATAGCTTTTAATTATAGTTTAACAGCTTTTTTAAGTCACTAGCAATGCATCATTGCATCTGGTTGGGTAATATTATTGGTGTTATATGTAGTCAGGAATGAACTCCAGTCCTTAAAATATTTAATTTTTGTTGTTGTTCTGTTTCTTTTTTATTAAAAATAAAAAAAAGTTTGTTTTAAATGCAGTAGTAGATTTCTGTAGTTTTCTGTTTATTTTAGCCAGTGATATTTAAAAGTAGGAGTTATGGTACTGGTTTTATAACTTGCTCTGTAAAAAAGGTATCCCGAAATAAACTCAGGGTTCATGATGTAGTAATATATAAATGATAGGGATCTATTATTCTTCATACATCTGCACTAGCCCTATTAACCACTACCCAATGTTGATGCAACTGCTAGCTGCTAAAGGCTATTCTACAAAAAATAATTTGGGCAGCAGTGCCCCTGGGCAGACGCAAATATGTGATATTAGGTAAAGAGAAAATTAAGAAATAAAAATTGGTAGTCATTAATTAAGTGGTCTGATGCCACTACAGTTCATTTAACAAATATAAGATAAATTCTAAATATGAAATAAATTCTAGCATCACAACTTTCATTGTTACTTTTAGAATGGCAGTATGCATTTTTTATGGAAATGGCAGAGATCAAGTCATCCCAAAGAAATATTCTTGCTGCAATTTAAAGTCTAGGTTGTCGAACGGAACTCGAAAGTTCTTCGCTTTTCATTAGTAAATGTCATTCCCTTGAAGAATTTGATTCTTTTGAACAAAAATTGGAGTCTAATGCAGAATTTAGTATTTTATTAAGTGTTGTTAATGATAAAGTTATGACTTATAAGGCCTTAAAAGTTGTATTCAATAAAAGTGAAAATCCTTCCTATTTTAATAGTATTGCCAAATTATAGGTACTTTACCTATAATTTGTATAGGTACTATAAATATAAAAATAAGTACTATAACTATTGAATACTATTGAATGAAAAACATTTATACTGTAAAATATAATTTGTTTGTTAATTCTTAAAAGTTGTATAGCCATTTGTTTTGTAATCTAGTTAGTTGTTAAAAATATTTATCATCAGCAGATTTAATAAGAGGTATAAAAAAGTGAAATAAGAAATGTATTAAAGTATATAATAACAAATAATATAATCAAAGTACATATACAAAAAATTTAAACAAATATGTCAATTGTTTACATTAAAACTTTGAATTTTTTAAATTAGATAAAACGTTTGAAACAACTAGGTGGAGGAACACCATCGCAGCTTGTCAGCAAGTGCATCAATCAGACTCTTGATAAGAGTGTACAAGCCCAGTTCAACAAAACAGGAAGTAATGGGAAACGTGCTTTTAAAAAGACGCTACTCTGCAAAGCAATTTTAGGTAAACTTTTACTTAATATTAAACTGAGCGTTTACTAGAATAAGTGTTGTTCTTCTATAGTTTTATTTTAGCTGCATTAGTATCAGATGTGAATTCAGCAAAAGTTATTGATTCGTTCATTGGTGAACAATTAAAGCGAGCACCTCGAGCCCTTGAAAATGAGCTAGATAAGTTTTTGTAATTTTTTTTTAAAGGAGGAATTATGTTTGTATTTTTAGTTTGTAAAATAATGAGCATTTCTTATTAAACTCTTTTTATATATGTGTAGATTTTTCATGGGCAATAGTTTTATACAATTCCATTAAATGTATAAAACATTTATACATTTCATTTAATGCTTTTTTAATTTTATCGTGTGTATTTTTATATCACTAAATAATTGGAATTGAATTGGAATTGCAAAAAATAAATTAAAATTGCAAAATAAAAAAAAGAACTGAGGATAATGAAACTCCTGCCAATTTTAAAATATCAACAAAAAAATTTTTTTTGATTTAATATTTTTTTGTACTCATTTTAACCTGATAACAACAATAACCTATACTTAGTACCATTAAAATTAAACAAAAACACGTTAGCTTCCGTGTGCAAAAGAAAAAATTTAAACTTTGGTAAGTAGTTTTTTAGTTATTAATATATATGTGTATATTAATGTAACATATATATATATATATATATATATATATATATATATATATATATATATATATATATATATATATATATATATATATATATATATATATATATATATATATATATATATATATATATATATATATATATATATATATATATATATATATATATATATATATATATATATATATATATATATATATATATATATAAAATATATATATATATATATATATATATATATATATATATATATATATATATATATATATATATATACACTAAAGCCCCACGAAGCTTTGAAATTTTGAGTTGAATCAAATCAAATATGTGATTCAAAATATGATTCGAAAATAAACAAAAATCGAATCCTGATTATTATTTTTTTTTTGGTATTTTTTTCAGTTATTTGGCGCTTTGGCTCTATCCAAACAATGTTACTTATCCGTAAATACCTTTTTAATTATTCGTTAAAAAGGTTAATCAGGGAAATAAGACCAAAAAAAAAGTTTATACAATTATTTTTTATTTTATTATAATAATTATTATTTTTAATATATTATTAAAAAAAAAGCTTCAATTTAGACTGCAAACTATTGATTCGAAACGTGATTCGAAACGCGAATCAAGACCTGCTTTTATTGGAGATTTAATTTGAAACAAAAAATGCTGATTTGCAGGGCTCTAATATAAATATGTATATATATATATATATATATATATATATATATACATATATATATATATATATATATATATATATATATATATATATATATATATATATATATATATATATATATATATATAAATATATATATATATATATATATATATATATATATATATATATATATATATATATATAAATATATATATTTATATATATATATATATATATATATATATATATATATATATATATATATATATATATATATATATATATATATATATATATATATATATATATATATATATATATATATATATATATATATATATATATATATATATATATATATATATATATATATATATATATATGTATATGTATATACAAATATGTATATATTTAATGTATATATGTATATATTTAATACGGTAATGGTGTAGTGATAGAGCGCTCGCTTCATAAGTGAGAGGTTCCGAGTTCAATCCCCACCACAACCCTGGTAGTACCATGCTTAACTTGTTTCTCTGCTCAGCGGCCTTGTTCGTCAAGGTTCGTGTTTCGGAGTTAAAGAGTTGAGAGAGGGTTATAACCACAAATATGTAGCCTCCTCGACTGTAGTGGTCTTGAGTCTTGAGGAGGTGAATTAATAAAAAAAAAATGGGTGAGTGTGTGTCATGGCTAAACTTTGTATTTAGTGCAATCAAAAGGCTTTGTTTTGTAGTAAATAAAAAGGAAATGAAAATAAATTAGTGAAGAAATGTCTATTGCTCTTGTATTGAGTAGATGAAGTTGAGAAATTAGTTCAATGGCTACCAGACACGTCAGAGGAAGAATTTAATTTAATCAAAATCTTGTTGGAAAAAAGAACTAGAAACATGTGCAATGGCTGTAGGCAACTTGATTCTAAATTGTCTTCGTGAATTTGCAGAACAAGGTATTTTCTATTTCATTTGTAACCTAATGTGCCTTGCCTGTAAGTCAAGTTTAGCCTGTATCAAAGGCTTTAAGAGTTAATTAGAGAGAATAGAGATAGAAATACTCTTCTTGGCAACTATGGAAAACCGCCATTCTCTAAATGCATGGATGAATTATGTAAGTTTAATTATCTTATATATTATAATAGTCTTACATATGTACTTTTGTGAAATAAATATTATTTACATACTATTACTTGCCATGATATTTTTTTAATGATTTTAATGGCGATTGGGATGTATAGTAATTATGCACTATTATATTATGATATGCATCATGTTGCTGATGCATATGCCATTTTTGATGTTACACATTTATACCTTGTTGTATTATAAAATTGCTTATAGTTTGGTTGAGTATTTACAAGTGATATTTAAGTTCGAAATCAGTTTTGTTTCAGTATTTTGTATATATATGTAGTTCTTATAGCATTTATTTAATTTTCAATTCAGGTTCCACTCATAAAATAATTCCTCAATAAATCTAAAATAAAATTTCATTTACAAATCAGTTCTCTTAAAATTAATATATCAATTCAGTTCTTGATATCTATATTTCCCCTCATATTTCAGATCCTAATTTAGTTAATAAATGGATTAAGAACTAAAATAAAAGATAGAAAAATATTAATATCAAGAACTGAACTATTGCAAGCTGATTTAAAACTGAGAAATTTAACTAATCACCCCATAAGCAAAATCAAAAATTAGAAATTAAATCAATGCTATAAGAACTGCACAAAAGCTGAAATAGAACTGATTTATAACTTAAATATACTCCGGTACTTACTCTTAATCAATAGATTTGCTAATGAACCACCTCCACACCTCTGGAAGCACTCAACTTGCTTCTCCACACAAAGCCGTTCATGTTTTGGGTAAATTACTAGCCTTGACTGTAGTGTCACAACGGCCTTTAGGTTATAAATTAATAAAAATGTTTGATATTAGGATAATAAGTATGTCCTTTTTACTTACAGGTTGGATTTAGCAGAAGTTAAATCAACCCAAGAACAGATTGTTACTGCGCTTAAAAAGCTAGGATGGAGAACTGAGCCAAAAAGTTTTTCACTTTTAAGAGATAAATGTCACTCACTTGAAGAATCTAATGCTTTCAAAAACAAGGCAGCAACTAAAATGAAGGTTAATATTTTTTTTAGTGCTATTAATGATAAAGTTGTGTCTCTTTAGGGCATGATAATTTTAATATAAGTGTATTCTCAATTTCATTAGGTTACGGATAAAGAATGATAAAGATGGCAAGTCTAGGGTTTTTCTATTATTTTTTTATGTAATTTTAACAAGGAAAATCAAGTTTGTATGTAAATGAATTTTTTAAAGTACTGTTACTTTTATTAAGTAAAAAAATGTTATTTATACTATAAAATATACTTATTCTAATGTTTTTAATACTTAAAATTTGTATATACATTTTTGTTTCTTGTTAACCGTTGAGAATATTTACCAGGTATAAATTTGTTCATAAGAGTTATTAAGTTGTGTGTTAAAGTAGACAAATAAACTGTTTACATGACAACACCTATTTTTATTTAAACAAAATGCTTAAAACAACTTGGTAGGGAAACATCTTTGTAAATCAGCAATAAGTGCAATAACGAGACTTGTCTTTTTCGTTGAAGAGTGTATAATTGGGAAATCAGTGCAAAAGTTTAAAAAGAATCGGCGAAGCGAGTTTCGGTAAATATTAAAATCTTTTAGTAAAGTCTAAATATTTACTTAAGTATTATACATGTAAAAACAAATTTTGGTCTATGACAAAATATTATTCTGAATATTAGTGTCATTTACTAGTTTCATTATTTGATTTGATTTAATATAATTTCGTTTTAGCTGCAGTAGTATCAAACAAATTTGGCGAGAGATATCGATTCCATTAAATCTTCTGGATACCGATTCTTTTATTGGTGAATATATATATATATATATATATATATATATATATATATATATATATATATATATATATATATATATATATATATATATAAAATTTTTGTTTGTATTTTTGTTTTTTTAACTAATAAAATAAAAAATATTTCTTTTACACTTTTTTTATATATACGCCAAGCTTTTTACTGCCACTTATACTCATCAAAAACTGTCCGTTTTTAAATATTTCGAGTCAAATATATATTATTACCGTCTAATAAAAACGCACAAAAACCCGTTTAAAATAGGTTTCAATAAGACCTAAAAAACACGTCCTAAAAACTTGTGAAAAGCTTATTTCATATAGACGATTTTGCCACCCTAAATACACGTGTCAAAAAAGGTGAATAAAACGTTTAATATACGTCTAAAACTCGTTTAAAATAGGTTTCAATTAAACGTGTAAAACACGTCCTAGAAGTACGTGAAAAGCTCATTTCATATAGACAATTTTTCTACATTAAAAACACGTGCCCCGTAAAACGTGAATAACACGTTTATTATACGTTTCTGTGTTTACTGGGATGTTAAATTTAGTTAAAAACTTGTTTTATTTTGTAAAAAAAAAACACGATGATTTTAAAACAGCAGGACAATTATAGGCCACTTTAAAAAAACAAGCTGAACTAATTGCGACCATTTTTTTTAAAAAAAACACGGGACTGTCAAAGGGTTAAAATACTATATAAGTTAAAAGAAGCGAACTGCTCAGTTAGTCTAAAAAATTACTCTAAACGTGAACAAACAAGGCGCGCGACTGCACGCGCTTCCCGGAAAGGCTTGCAAATGTGAGAGAAACAAGTTGGTAAAGTAATATTTTTTGCTATTTTCAACAAATTTATATTCATTAATAAATGCTAAATATTAATGTACAATCTGTCGATATTTGTTTCATGAAATAAAAAGAGCATTTATTGTAAGTCCGGATCAAACCATCCTTAATTTAAATTTAAACTTTGATGTTATTTTTTATCAGGGTCAAACTATTTAATTTTGAAGATACT